TTGGTAGACACTGATAAGAAGATGTTTCATGCTTAATATCTTAGCTCTAGCTCTTTGGGTTCTTTAAGAGAAGATTTTTTTAAGTTTTTACTATATGCATATAGGGAAAATCAATGAACCCTGGGGCGGGGCCAATTTTGACCCCAGGGCTTTTATTTGAACAAACTTGGTAGACATCCATTAGAACATGTTTTACACCAAATATCTAAGCTCTAGCTCTTTGGGTTTTTTAGAAGAAGATTTTTTAAAGTTTTTACTATATGCATGTAGGGAAAATCAATGACCCCCTGGGGCGGGGCCAATTTTGACCCCAGGGCTTTTATTTGAACAATCTTGGTAGACACTTATTAGAAGATGTTTCATGCTAAATATCTTAGGTCTAGCTCTTTGGGTTCTTTAATAGAAGATTTTTTAAAGTTTTTACTATATGCATATAGGGAAAATCAATGACCCCCTGGGGCGGGGCCAATTTTGACCCCCGGGCTTTTATTTGAACAAACTTGGTAGACATCCATTAGAACATGTTTAATGCCAAATATCTAAGCTCTAGCTCTTTGGGTTTTGTAGAAGAAGATTTTTTTAAGTTTTTACTATATGCATATAAGGAAAATCAATGACCCCCTGGGGCAAGGCCAATTTTGACCCCAGGGCTTTTATTTGAACAATCTTTGTAGACACTTATTAGAAGATGTTTCATGCTTAATATCTTAGGTCTAGCTCTTTGGGTTCTTTAAAAGAAGATTTTTGAGTTATGCTCTGGACAAAAATTAAGTTTGAAAAATAACAAAGGGCAATAACTGAAAAATTATGCAGGGTAGAGTTATCATTCTTGTGCACTGCACTCCTTCTCAATATGATCTATCCACCTATGACGTTTCAAGTTGATACTTCAAATACTTTTTGAGATATGCTGCGGACAAAAATGTCAGATGAAAGGACGGACCGACCGACCGACCGACGGAAGGAGACTATTTCTATGTCCCCGCCGCCTTTTGGCGAGGGATAATAAAAGTGATATGGCACTTTTTGTACGTAGAAGCGAGGAATGATATGTAATCTTTTCTTGCATTCTAAACGATCTATAGTAAATAATATTATTACCCTTTTTGCCTTTTGAATGTATGGTATTGCACCAGGGTTTTCACATGTTGGTTTACACAAAAATTCTATACATATAATGATATATTTATTATAATACATATATACATTAAACTTTATGCTTTAAACAAAAAATATAACTTTTTACAATGTTACCATAAGACAGGATTAATTTTGAGATTGTATGTAAATGATAAGCAGACTGGAAATCTATACACCTGACAATCTTTTTTCCTTTTTCGAATTTTTCGACCATAACGCTTAGAAATTTTGAACAGCATAGCAATATTGTAAGGTATCCAATGAATTTCTTCACAAAACTTTGGCTAGAAACTTTTTAAAAGAAAGTTTTTCACATATTTCCTGTACAATTTAGGTGAAACATGTAGGTCCATTATTATGAAAATGGGTCAAAGACAGAAAAGGCCGGGTTGCATATGTATACAAAATATCATGAGGCTGTGATGTTACGAAAAAAATTTTCCATTGACCCATTAATGTCGAAACTTTAATTCAGTAGGTAAACAGGAAGTGGATTAGCTACACACCTAAAATCGAATCCCACAGTATGGGACCATGTGTCAATGCTGTACGTATGCCAAATATCAAGAGGCTGTGATTAGTAGTTTCTGAGAAAAATGTTACGAAAATTTCCTACCATTGACCATTAATGTGAACAGGAAGTGGATGAGCTGCAGACTTGAAATCGAATCCCACAGTATGGGACCATGTGTCAATGCTGCATGCCAAATATCAAGAGGCTGTGATAAGTAGTTGCTGAGAAAACTGTTACGAAAATTTCCTACCATTAATGTCAAAAAATCGAACTAATTTAACTAAGTGGATAAACAGGAAGTGGATGAGCGACAGACCTGAAATCAAATCCCACGGTATGGGACCATGTGTCAATGTTGTATGCCAAATATCAAGAGACTGTGATAAGTAGTTGCTGAGAAAACTGTTACAAAAATTTCCTACCATTGACCATTAATGTCGAAAAATCTAACTAATTTAACTAAGTGGATAAACAGGAAGTGGATGAGCGACAGACCTGAAATCAAATCCCACAGTATGGGACCATGTGTCAATGCTGTATGCCAAATATCAAGAGGCTGTGATAAGTAGTTGCTGAGAAAACTGTTACGAAAATTTCCAAGCATTGACCATTAATGTCGAAAAATCTAACTAATTTAACTAAGTGGATAAACAGGAAGTGGATGAGCGACAGACCTGAAATCAAATCCCACAGTATGGGACCATTTGTCAATGCTGTATGCCAAATATCAAGAGGCTGTGATTAGTAGTTGCTGAGAAAACTGTTACGAAAATTTCCTACCATTGACCATTAATGTCGAAAAATCTAACTAATTTAACTAAGTGGATAAACAGGAAGTGAATGAGCGACAGACCTGAAATCAAATCCCACAGTATGGGACCATGTGTTTAATGCTGTATGCTAAATATCAAGAGGCTGTGATAAGTAGTTGCTGAGAAAACTGTTACGAAAATTTCCTACCATTGACCATTAATGTCAAAAAATCTAACTAATTTAACTAAGTGGATAAACAGGAAGTGGATGAGAGACAGACCTGAAATCAAATCCCACAGTATGGGACCATGTGTCAATGCTGTATGCCAAATATCAAGAGGCTGTGATAAGTAGTTGCTGAGAAAACTGTTACGAAAATTTCCTACCATTGACCAATAATGTTTAAAAATCTAACTAATTTAACTAAGTGGATAAACAGGAAGTGGATGAGAGACAGACCTGAAATCCAATCCCACGGTATGGGACCATGTGTCAATGCTGTAGGCCAAATATCAAGAAGCTGTGATAAGTAGTTGCTGAGAAAACTGTTACGAAAGTTTATTTCCCCGCCCGCCCGCCGCCCGCCCGCCCGCCGCCCAACATTCACCATACTATAACCCGGATTTGCACCAGTGCAACCCGGCCAAAAATGGAAGCCTGATGTTCATTTACAAAAAAGTGTTTATACCAGTAACCTTGATCATTCAAACAAAATGTTATAATGGTTTTCCTCCAAAAATGATGTATTTCTCTTCTAAACAAACAACTGTTCACAGTTCAACTCTTTTTATTTATGGTAAAATCTTACAATTCACAGATATTCGTGTCCACAGATATATATAAAATGGATAGGAAGCTCAGAAAATAGACGATAGTCAGATTTATATCCACAATCCTTTGTGTGCTTCGGTGGTAATTGGGTTTTCCCGCTAGTCTTCGATTCTTGCGCTATTGTTAAACTTCTGCGATATCCATGAACTATTGTTTACTTGGGTTAACACAACCCCACCAATAGATAGATAGAGTTATGGTTCTTGTGCACTGCACTTCCCCTTATTGTGTTTGACAATTGTATGAAGTTGTTTTGAATTCCAACCAGTAGTTTTCAAGTTATGCCCCGGATAAGGAAAAGTAACAAAGGGCAATAACTCTGTAATTAGTCAAGATAGAGTTATGGTTCTTGTGCACTGCACTTCCTCTCAGTGTGCTTGACCATTGTGTGTAGTTATATTGAATTCCAACCATTAGTCTTCAAGTTATGCTCCGGACAAGGAAAATGCAACAGACGTCTGGACCGACCGACCGACCAACCGACCGACCACCGGGTGACTCCTATATACCCCCCCAAACTTCGTTTTTGGGGGTATAAAAACAGATCTATGACATACACTCTTTAAAACACTAATTACAACCAAATGCAACTCAAAATAATACTGACCAACTATCAAAAATCCATATTTCCAATAAATTTAGGACACTTCAAAAGTGTCTGAACTTTTTACAAATAAAGCAGCTTCAACGTAGACAAAACTACTCACATGATCAAAAATATTGTGGGAAAACAAGGGAAACAACTGAAACAACCAAAAAATATATCAAGACACCTCTGTTACACATCATGAAATCGAAATGAGAAAATTCAAAAATAGATTACAATAAGGTCAAATAATACTGGTAAGTTTTCTGTACCTACTTTTAGAAAATGATGAGATCAGCTTTCACTACAAAAATGGCGTCTGGTACGAACTACTTCCTTTCGCGCTGCGTCATTCAAAGATAATGCGAATTGATACACATGATATTTTTTTTTACTGATTATGTCTTGAAGTACATGCAGATTATATACGATAGAAATAACACAGTTAAAATGAACTACTGACAATACTTGCGTGTGACAAGAAAATCTTTGAAGAACTACTTTTGTATACACTGCGTTGTTAGGTATTTGTTCTTATAGTCTGATCATGCAAATCTAGGTAGGCCTTTGTGATAGAACTGTATTCACTGCTAACACAGCGAATACAAAAATCAATGAACCCAAGGCAGGGGCTATTTTGACCCTAGGGCTTTTACTTGAACAAACTTGGTAGACATTTGCTAGAAGATGTTTCATGCCAAATATATAAGCTCTAGCTCTTTCGGATTTTTATAAGAAGATTTTTAAAATTTTCACTACATGTATTTAATTTTGACCCCAGGGCTATAATTTGAACAATTTTTGTAGAGTTTCAGTAGATGATGTTACTTATAAAATATCTAATCTCCAGGTCTTGCACTTTCAGAGGAGAAATTTTTTTAAAGATTTCATTTCAAATATCTATTTTTCGCCCTCCTGACACAGATGTTTAATTGAGCAGAACCATTTGAACAATTTAAGTAGAGCTTCATGCTAGGAACATCCCAGGGAAATTTCATCACATTTGGCCCAGTGGTTTCTGAGAAGTTGTTTATATAAAAAGTTGACGACGGAAGCACGGACGCACTGACGGATGCCAGACAAATTGTGATCACAGAAGCTCACCTTGAGCACTTTGTGCTCTCAGGTGAGCTAATAAAAGATCAGACTATACAAATGTATAAAACATGTACTTACTTCCTACAATTTGTCAGAATGGGCATAAGGCCATTGGCTGTAATTCCTCGACACATTGCCAAATTGAGTACAGACAAATGTTTATTCTCACCGATATAGCTGGAGATACACAACATACAATACTATATGTAAAATAAAATAATGCAATTTTTCAATCATAGGTATTACCATCCTAACAGGCACTATAAGGAACTGAAAAATTGACAACATAGGTCAGACATATGCCTTAACGGATTTCACTGTATCGAAATAGAGTTATGTTATCTTTTCAAAACTTATGCTGAGCCCCTTTCTCAGAAATGAGGTTACCTTTGAACAATCAACAGTATCATTCTGATGAAAAATAGGTCAAAGACAGAAAAGGCCGGGCTGCATTTGTATACCAAATATCATGAGGCTGTCATGTTACTAAAATTTTCTACCATTAAAAACTAATGTTGAAAATTTAAGTAAGTCAGTAAACAGGAAGTGGATAAGCGACAGACCTGAAATAGAACTCAAGGTATAGAACCATGAGTTAATGCTGTATAAACCCTAACATTTAAGCGATAAAAGTCAGTGAAGAGTAACTTCCCTTACTGGATGTGATGAAATGGGGGACTATGCTATACAGACGGCTTAGAATGTTAGCTTAGTGAAAAGTTAATTGCTGAATACTTTTGTTTGTTTGTTTGTTTCATTTACGCCTTTTCCCAACAGTATTTCAGTCATGTAGGCGGGTAGTTTCCTAACCATCGTTCCTGGAGAGTTACACCTGTACTAGACTACCTTCCTCCGCGCTAAACTACCAAAGCATCTCCCGGGGATCGAACCCACGCCAGGGAGGTAATGGGATTAGACGTCATCGACTCTAACCCCTTTGCTGAATACTGATAGTTCAATTATGCATATACGATGAAAAAATTTACTTATGCATACATAAATTCAATATCAAGACAATAACAAGAGGGCCAAGATGGCCCTAGATCACTCACCTGACCCATCAAACTCATCCGAGTAATTACCTAGACAAGCATTCTGACCAAGTTTCATGACAATTGAGTCCACTAGAGTGTTAACAAGGACTTTCTATATTTGAGCAGTGTGAGCTAGTTTTTGACCTCAGGTGAACCATATTCAAACATGACTTAGAAATCATCAAAACAAACTTTCAGACCAATTTCAAGGATATTTGGATCAAAACAGTAGCCACTAGTGTTAACAAAAATTTTCTATTTTTAGCTCCTGTGACCTAGTTTTTCATCCGAGATGACCCATGTTCGAACTCATCTGAGAAATTACATAGACAAGCACCCTCACCAAGTTTGACGACAATTGAGTCAAAAATGTGACCATTAGAGTGTTAACAAGGATTTTCTATATTTGAGCAGTGTGAACTAGTTTTTGACCCCAGGTGAACCATATTCAAACATGACTTAGAAATCATCAAAACAAACTTTCAAACCAATTTTCAAGATATTTGGATCAACAGTAGCCACTAGTGTCAACAAAAAATTTCTATTTTTAGCTCCTGTGACCTAGTTTTTCATCTGAGATGACCCATGTTCGAACTCACCCCAGCAATTACCTAGACAAGCACCCTGATCAAGTTTGATGACAAATGAGTCAAAATTGTGACCACTAGAGTGTAACAAGGTTTTTCTATATTTGGGCAGTGTGACGTAGTTTTTGACCCCAGGTGACCCATATTCAAACTTGACCTAGAAATCATCAAAACAAACTTTCAGATTAATTTTCAGGATATTTGGATCAACAGTAGCCACTAGAGTATTAACATTTTTTTTTCTATTTTTAGCTCCTGTGACCTAGTTTTTCATCCTAGATGACCCATGTTCGAACTCATCCGAGCAATTACCTAGACAAGCATCCTAACCAAGTTTGATGACAATTGAGTCAAAGATGTGGCCACTAGAGTGTTAACAAGGTTTTTCCATATTTGGGTGGTGTGACCTAGTTTTTGACCCCAGGTGAACCATATTCAAACTTGACCTAGAAATCATCAAAACAAACTTTCAAACCAATTTCCAGGATATTTGGATCAAAACAGTAGCAACTAGAGTGTTAACAAAAAATTTCTATTTTTAGCTCCTGTGACCTAGTTTTTCATCCGAGATGACCCATGTTTGAACTCATCTCAGCAATTACCTAGAAAAGCACCCTGACCAAGTTTGATGACAATTGAGTTAAAAATGTGACCACTAGGGTGTTAACAAAGTAATTCTATTTTTAGATCCTGTGACCTAGTTTTTCATCCCAGATGACCCATGTTCGAACTCACTCCAGCAATTACCTAGACAAACACCCTGACCAAGTTTGATGACAATTGAGTAAAAAATGTGACCACTAGTGTGTTAACTAGGTTTTTCTATTTTTAGCTCCGGTGACATAGTTTTTCATCCGACATGACCCATGTTTAAACTCATCCGAGCAATTACCTACACAAGCATCCTGACCAAGTTTGATGAAAATTGAGTCAACTAGAAATGTGTCCATAGGACACGGATGCCCCCACACGCCACTGTTCTGTCAATCTTATGACTCTAGGTCAAATATTTTTTGGACTACAAGTGCCACAAGTTGAAAACTAAAAATCAACAAAGGGCCATAATTCTGTTAACTTTGGGCGCAACAAAAATTCCTTCCTTTACTACCATCTACACATTAAGGTTGTTCATCCCTGGAAGTTTAAGCAAAATCTGCCATCCGGTTTAAGAGGAGTTGCGTTCACAAAATTTCTACATAGTATATAGTGAAAAAATCAACAAAGGGCCATAATTCTGTTAAATTTGGTCGCAGGAAAAATTCCTTCCTTTAATACCATCTACACATTAAGGTTGTTCATCCCTGGAAGTTTAAGCAAAATCTGCCATCTGGTTTAACAGGAGTTGCGTTCACAAAATTTCTACATAGTATATAGTGAAAAAATCAACAAAGGGCCATAATTCTGTTAAATTTGGTCGCAGGAAAAATTCATTCCTTTACTACCATCTACACATTAAGGTTGTTCATCCCTGGAAGTTTAAGCAAAATCTGCCATCCGGTTTAACAGGATTTGCGTTCACAAAATTTCTACATAGTATATAGTGAAAAAATCAACAAAGGGCCATAATTCTGTTAAATTTGGTTGCAGCAAAAATTCCTTCCTTTACTACCATCTACACATTAAGTTTGTTCATCCCTGGAAGTTTAAGCAAAATCTGCCATCCGGTTTAAGAGGAGTTGCGTTCACAAAATTTCTACATAGTATATAGTGAAAAAATCAACAAAGGGCCATAATTCTGTTAAATTTGGTCGCAGGAAAATTCCTTCCTTTACTACCATCTACACATTAAGGTTGTTCATCCCTGGAAGTTTAAGCAAAATCTGCCATCCGGTTTAAGAGGAGTTGTGTTCACAAAATTTCTACATAGTATATAGTGAAAAAATCAACAAAGGGCCATAATTCTGTTAAATTTGGTCGCAGGAAAAATTTCTCCCTTTACTACCATCTACACATTAAGGTTGTTCTTCCCTGGAAGTTTAAGCAAAATCTGCCATCCGGTTTAAGAGGAGTTGCGTTTAGACAGCCATTAGAACATGTTTCATGCTAAATATCTAAGCTCCATCTATTTGGGTTTTTTCAAAGAAGATTTTAAGTTTTTGCTATACACATATAAGGAAAATCAATGACACCCGGGGCGGGGCCAGTTTTGACCCCAGGGCTTTTATTTGAACAAACTTTGTAGACATTCACTAGAAGATGTTTCATGCTTAATATCTAAACTCCAGCTATTTGGGTTTTTTCAAAGAAGATTTTTTAAGTTTTTGCTATACACATATAAGGAAAATCAATGACCCCCGGGGCGGGGCCAATTTTGACCCCAGGGCTTTTATTTGAACAAACTTGGTAGACACCCATTAGAACATGTTTCATGCTAAATATCTTAGCTCTAGCTCTTTGAGTTCTTTAAAAGAAGATTTTTTAAGTTTTTACTATATGCATATAGGGAAAATCAATGACCCCCTCGGGCAGGGCCAATTTTGACCCCAGGGCTTTTATTTGAACAAACTTGGTAGACACCCATTAGAACATGTTTCATGCTTAATATCTTAGCTCTAGCTCTTTGGGTTCTTTAAAAGAAGATTTTTTAAGTTTTTACTATATGCATATAGGGAAAATCAAAGACACCCTGGGGCAGGGCCAATTTTGACACCAGGGCTTTTATTTGAACAAACTTGGTAGACACCCATAAGAAGTTGTCTCATGCTAAACATCTAAGCTCTAGCTCATTGGGTTTTTTAACAAGAGCTGTCCGTAAGACAGCGCGCTCGACTTTTTTATTGCTTGCCAATAAAAAAAGTTTTTGCAGTAAAAGGCAATACAAGAATCTCTGTATTTTTAAAGTGAACAATGGCCATGAGCATTAAGATATTTAGTGAAGAATTATTTTACTGAATTGTGTGATACCCTTGAACACTGCAGCAAAGTTTGAAATGTTTAAGTCAAAAGAGGGCTGGTAAGAAAGAAAAAAAAACTGAGTTGAGCCTGAAATAAATTTAATTCTAAGTCGATAAAAGGCCTTAATTTTTAAAACAAATCCTTGACAGAGTTACCTTCTCTTGCGTACAGATGGGGGTAATGATGTGAAATAGCATTAAAAGTTTCAAAGCAATATCTCAAAGGGTTAAGGCAATAAGTGGATTTTACCCATATTCAATGTATTTTCTAAGTCAAAAAGGGGCATAATTCTGTCAAAAACCTTGACAGAGTTATGTCCTCTTGTCTGTTGATGAAGGTCGTGATGGTAAACAAGTATGGTCAGTTTCAAAGCAATACCTCCAATGGTTTTGAAATAAAGTGAGGTGGTACAAAAAACTTAACCAAGCTCAATACACTTTCTAAGTCAAAAAAGGGCCATAATTCTGTCAAAAACCTTGACAGAGTTATGTACTCTTGTCTGTAGATGGAGGTTATGATGGTGAACAAGTATGGTAAGTTTCAAAGCCATACTTGTAATACTTCTGAAATAAAGTGGGGTGGTACGAAAAACTTAACCAAGGTGTGACGCCAACGCCGACGCCGACGCCGGGGCGAGTAGGATAGCTCCCCTTTTCATAGA